CCTTCCACAGACACCCCCAGGCCCAGCCAGCCATGGGGGCCCTGCCCTGTGAGGGGGACCCCTTCACCCAGCACCACCCCCTGTTACATGTACCTCCAGTCCCTTCTGCAGACACCCCCAGTCACAGCCATGTGGGCCCTGCCCTGTGTGGGGGACCCCAGCACCACCCCGTTCCCTGTACCCCCAACTCTCTTCCAGAGACACCCCCAGGCCCAGTCACAGCCATGTGGGCCCTGCCCTGTGTGGGGGACCCCATCACCCAGAACTGCCCTCCCATTACATGTACTCCCAGCTCCCTTCTACAGACATGCCAAGGCCCAGCCACCCCCAGCCCTGTGCCCAGAGCTAGCCATGGAGGAACCTTGCCCCCACACCCTCCCCAATACTTGTAACTTGCTCCCCTTGTACTGGCACCTCCTGCCTCCAATACACTGGTGCCCTGTTCCCCATGCACAGAGCCAGCAGTGGGGGATCCCTGCCAGATAAATCCAACCCCCAAATCTGTTACCTCCTCCCCTCACCCCATAGGGCCTGTAGGAAATGACATAGCTCTGTTTGAAAACATTGAAACTGGCTCCTAAGGAAGCAGGAAACCGATGAGCCCTGTCAGCAAGAAACATGTCCCGAATAAAAGGGCTGAGCTTGAAAAATCTCATGCAACCCCCCCCCACCCCATAGGCCCCTGTGAAAAGGGGTCCTGCTCCTTCCTAGCCACTGGTGCAAGCTCACAAACACCACAATGGAACAGAGGAGCGAATGGCACAGGTGCTGGGGCAGCCTACAGGACCGTACTATTGCAAATGGTGGGGCAGACGTTCAATACTAACCAGGCAAGCGAATGGCAGCATGTTTAGTAGGCACTGTAGAGGTGAGAATGGCACCCTTGGATGTCTAGAGCTGTGTCATCCCTGCCAAACCAGCCTGTAGTTCAAACCCCTTTGCTGCCCATCCCGAGGAAACCCCATGTGACTGAGAGAACTGAACAGAAATCATGGTAGAAGTTCCCAAACCCAGACACAATCTCCCTCTTGGGGAAGCAGTGTTGCCTCCTATGGGGCTTCTGCTATACCTATTGGAGGCCAGTAATCTGTAGATTCCAAGGCCAGAAGGGAACACAGTGACCATCTGGTCTGATCTCCTGCATAACGCAGGGCAGAGACCTGCCCCACAATAATTCCTAGAGCAGATCTTCTAGAAAAACATCCAGTCTCTATTTAAAAATGGTCAGAGATGGAGAATCCACCCCAACCTTTGGTAAATTGTTCCAGTGGTGAATTATCCTCTCTGTTAATAACACACACCTTATTTCCAGGCTGAATTTGTCTAGCTTCAACTTCCAGCCATTGGATCATGTTAGACCTTTGTCTGCTAGATTGAAGAGCCCATTATCAAATTTCTGTTCCTGTGTAAGTTCTTCTAGACTGTAATGGAGTCATCCCTCAACCTTCTCTTTGTTAATGAGAATAATGAGTCTGTCATTGTAAGGCAGCATTTCCAGTCTTTTAATTATTCTCGTGGCTCTTCTCTGAACCCTCTCCAGTTTATCGATGTCCTTGAATTGTGGGCATCAGACCTGGACACAGTATTCCAGCAGCAGTCCAGCATGATGCCTCCCCAAATATTTTTCAGTTACTGCTCTCCAGCATATAGTCCCCCATCCTGTTTAGTATGGCCTACGTTCTTTGTTTCCAGATGGATACATTTCCATTTATCTGTATTAAAACGCATTGTTTGCCTTCACCCAGTTGGCCAAGCGATCTAAATCAGTGATTTACCCACTTCATTATTTACCACTCTCCCAATTTTTGGTAAATAACTTAATCAGTGATTATTTTATGTTTTCTTCCAGGTCATTGATAAAAATGTTAAATAGCTTAGGGCAGAAAATCAGTCTCTGTAGGACCCCACGGGAGTCCAGGGCTTTGGAGCTGTGCTCTGGCTCCGCTCCAGCTCCAGGCAAAAACCTGCAGCTCCACTGCTCTGGAGCTGCTCCACGCTCCAGCTCCAGGCTCCGCTCCAAAGCCCTGCGGGAAACGCACCTGTTTGATAATGATTCCGTTTACATTCACATTTTGAAATCTACCAGTTAACCAGTTTTTAATCCATGTGATGTGTGCTGTGTTAATTTTATATTGTTAGATTTTTTTAAATCAAAATGTCATGTGATACCAAGCCAAACACCTTGCAGAAGTCTAAGTATACTATGTTAACACTGTTACCTTTATCTACCAAACTTGTCATCTTGTCAAAAAAAGATACCAAGTTAGTTTGACAGGATCTATTTTCTAAAACCCCTAGTGACTGGCATTAATTACATTACCTCCTTTAATTAATTGAGTCCCATATCAGCAGCTCCATTATCTTGCCCAGGATCCATGTGAGATTGACATGCCTGTAATTAGCCAAGTCATCCCATTTACTTGTTTTTAAAAATTGACACAACATTAGCTTTCTTCCAGTCTCCTGGAACTTCCCTGGTGCTCCAAGACTTACTGAAAATCATCATTAACAATCCAGAGAGCTCCTCAGCAGCTCTTTTAAAACTCTTGGGAGTAAGTCATCTGGACCTGCTGATTTAAAAATCTCTGATTTTTAGTAGATTCTGTTTAACATCCTCCAGCGATATTACTGGAATGAAAAGTGTGTTATCACTCTAGGAAGAGACTGCACCATTTGTCTGTCGTCCCCCCCCCCCCCCCCCCAAATACAGAACAGAAATATTTATCCAACGCTTCTGCCTTTTCTGCATTATTACTGAGTTTTACTGTTTCCATCTAGCAATTGACCAATACTATTGTCAGGATTCTTTTTGCTAATATATTTAAAAAAAACTTCTTACTATCCTTAACTCTGCTGGCCATAGATTTCTCCTTGTGCTTCCCTTGTTGATTTTCTACAGTTCCTTAGTTCTAATTTATATACATTACCATCAGCTTCCCCTTTCTTCCATTTATTATTTTCTATAGCTCCCTTCACTAACTCCAACCCAGGTTGCTGCTTTTAACAAGCAAAGCCTTCCTGCCCCTTTGGCCTAGCATTTGCATGCAGCATCACTAGTGATGCACTTGTCTGTTGTGATAGGCAGCGAGCTGTCAGTCCTTTGGGCCTTTTGAAATGATACGTGTTTATCAGCTTCCAGCACCATCCTTCAAATGTGTTTTGTTCTTTGATCAAGGAGTTGCTCTTTTCTTGTCTGTAAAGTGCCATGCACGCACACGGTGCTGTATAAATAATAATAGTTACACAGTCAATGCGGCTTCTTCCCAGCACCCAGATTATCTACATACATTATTAGGACATCTTTTTGTACCTTGCAAACTACACCAGCCCAAGCTCTCTCCCTCAGGGGTTAAGCATATAAGAGCGATTTTATACTGGGAATGAAAGTCACAGCTAAGAGTGCTGTTCTAATGTACTGCAAATCAGCAAAGGAAAGGGTTAATCTTATGCTTGGCTTTCCCTTGACATCAGCAGGGGTTTCCCAGCCCCTATAGTCTTTTGTCCTAGTTGATGAAAAACCACCTCTTTAATTCCTCCTCCTCATTTTTTACTCCTGGAACAGGAAAACAAAGTACAAGTATTAATAGGGGGAAATTTGCAAGGGTAAGAGGCTGAGTCCGAACTGACCAGAGGAATCTTTGAAGCCTCTAGCTCAGCGGTTCTCAAACTATGGGTTGCGACCCCATTTTAATGGGGTCACCAGAGCCAGCGTTACACTCGCTGGGCCCCGCTGCTTGGGGCTGAAGCTGGAGGGCTTGAGCCTGGGGCAGCAGGGCTCTGCCCCCCCAACTCAACCCAGGGTGCGGGGGCTCAGGCTCTGGCCCCCTCCCACCTGGAGTCACGTAGTAATTTTTGTTGTCAGAAGGGGGTCATGGTGCAATGAAGTTTGAGAACCACTGCCTAGCTTTCCAAAGGAAGCTGCAGAGCAGGGGATGGGTCCTTAGCAGAAAAGCCTGGGATCAAAAATCGCAGAGTCACTGGAATCTTTCCGGCCTCAGGGCCCATGTTCTCCCCTGCAACCTTCCAAACTGCAGGACTGCAAAAGGGTTGGGTGCTCAGTGGATGCAGTAACTCAGCAAATGGGGTCTCGGGGAGCTGCTGTGCGGAGATCCCCTTGTGATCAAACCACTGCAGCACTGTTGATTATCTTACCTCCTTACTTGAATGAAGTCCAGAGGCTTCCTTTGTCACCAGGAATATCACTGCTTGCCTCCACCTGGTAAATATAAGCGGAGTTTGCTGAGACTCTGAGACTGAGCTCTCAGCAGCGCTGGTCTCTGAGGTCTGGGGACTAAAGGAGAGGTCTGGATGTGTCCGTGGGTGTTGCACCCCACATCCCCAAGTTCTTTTTTCCAGCGTGTGTTTCAAGCAAGAATCAAGAGTGGTTCTTTACGTCCAGCCTCTCAACCTTCTCGGTGAGTGCAATTAGTCTTCCTTTAGGCTCTTTCTGTTGAGAAGCAGCCTGTCTCTCAGTCATTAAAGCAAGGCTGCCTAGACTAGGGAGCAATCCTCGCTCCTTTCTGCTGGCAGCTGACATCATGGAGGAAGCTGCATTCAGATGGTCTGGTGGTAGAATATTCTTTCACTTCTGCTATTTTTCTTCTTTTGTTGCAAACTCTCTTTAATAATAAGCCTGGCTGTGGGCTCATTATGACAGCTGATTCACGAGTTTCTGATTGCAAGTGGCTGCAGTGAGCCAGGAAGAGGATCTGAGAAGTCATTTTGGTTTAAACTAAAGGGGAGAGACAAACGCTGATCTGATTTTAATTAGGCATCTGTTTAGTAAGGTTAAGTTTGGTGAGGGGTTGATGCATTCAAAAGTGAGCGTGTGTGTGTGTGTGTGTGTGTGTGTGTGCGCGCACAGTATTCTTGCTGCCAATCGAGTGAGTGATCTGCCATATGAAAAGAACCTCGGAATTGTTACTTGTAGATTTTTGCAGTGTTGTTGCCACCCCCTAGAATTCAAAAATTCATGAGTCAGTCCCCCAAAATTAATGAGATTGGAAAAAGCAAAACACATGGGTTCTTTTTATTTACCTTCTGTTTTTGTAGCCATTAGCTCATGCTCGAGTCAAGTTTTTCCCTATAACCACTAGGGCTAGAAAAAACTTACTTATAATTTTTTTAAATTGAAAGCTGAGATTCTGACACATTCCCATGACTCTAGGAGGTGGGGTTTTAGGAAGTACTCCAACTAGTGCAATATTTGCTATTAAAAACACAAGAGTTAGCAGGAGTGATTAATAAAGAGACTTTTTTCTGGAATGTTTTTTGGTTTTGGATCTAGTGAAAAATTCTCTTTCAACTATGGGCAAAACGTTCTCCCAGTTCTGGAAGGTCTCTGACCTGAAGGAGAGGGGAGGGAATTCGATTCTGCGCAGGAAATCGGCTGATGAGGATGAAGTCACCAATTATGGCACTATCAATGGAGGAGACTCTGCCGCATCCTGCATGCCCTGTGTGGGCACTGTGAGTCGGGGCTGCATCAACTGCCCAACGTGCCAGGGAACGGGAAGGATCCCCAGGGGTAGGTGGTTCTTGTGTGTGCTTGGTCAGTGGTTTCCAGCCTTTCCAGGCACTTCACCAAACAGACCTCTGCTTGTTGCGTCTCGCTCAGCTGTGCACCCCATGGAACACCAGTCATGATGGAGCATTGCATGCTGTGACCTGCAGGCTCCATCTCTGTACTAAAGAGAGAGCCTGCAATCGGCTCCATCTTGCGTTAATCAGTGCAAGACCTGGGGCTGTTGGAAGGTATCCGTGCAGCCCTAAGTTAGCAAAGCTCAGTCTGTCTCTGTGCTTGGCCGAAGCCAACAAGGGTTATTTGAGTTAGACACCTGCATCCCTCTGAATGGGACAGCATTTGTAACGAGAATGCTGATGGACCCTAAACTGTAGTGTGGTGCTCTGCAGCCTGATGTGCCCTGTTCACTACGGCACCCAGTGCGATGCTTCTCTTCTGACCTGCGCCTCTTATCTTCTGTCTTTCAGAGCAGGAGAAGCAGTTGGTGGCTCTGATTCCATATGGTGACCAGAGGCTGAAGCCCAGACGAACGTAAAGTCCTGTTTCTCCCTTGTTCTTTTAATGCTCTGGCTGCGTTTAAATGGGTGCAGCTGGGGGGCGCAGCATTACAGGAGGAATCTGTTTGCAGAGGTTCATTTAAAAGCTTTGTTGCTCATTGGGCCGCGAGCTGCGGTGGGTTTGATGCCTGCAGGGCATCTGTTCTGTGTTGGCAGTGGGCTGTACTAGCACTTCTTGATGCAGGAGGGACTGTGGGCTGGGATTCTGGACTAGTTCTGTTTGAAAAGGGCCACGTGGGACTGCTAACTTCCAGCAGTGACAAGCAGCATGTTTCTGGGTCCGAAACCCACCCCCTCCTGGCCCCAAGGTGAACGTGCTGCCACTACTACACAATCCCTTTGCAGGCCCTCGTGTCTTGGTGCTTACCGTGTCTGAGCTGGCGCTCACGCCACCCTGTGCTTGTCCAGCCCTGTAGAGACAGTGCTGCAGGCAGTGCTGGACCAGGCGAGTTATGGTCCTTTGATGCTGTCTTGCAGGAAGCTCTATGTGTCCCTTGCCGTGACGATTTGCCTGCTGATGTCATCTCTCATCATATTCTTCCTGTTCCCTCGCTCCATTGCTGTGCAGCCCGCAGGGCTGAATGCCTCCTCCATTGCCTTTGATTCCACCGTTCCCAGTATCAATCTCAACATGACAGTGAGTTCTCAGCATGGCGCATACGGTGACATTGAGCTCGTATCTCATTATCAGTCCATAGCTTGGCTCACTTCTAAGCCTTGAGGATAGCGCGGCAGGTCAGTAGTGAGCTAGGTGGCAGAGCTGTGCGCGCATAGCGGGACAGCAGGCAAGACTGGAGTGGCCCGTCAGAAATGAGGCATGTTGGAGCAGTGTGTGATGGAGCAGGAGGTGCTGCTGGGTGGAAGTGAGCTATGTAACAAATGTTGGGAATTTTGTCGCTGTGTGTTGCATCTTCCCTCCGCTTTCAGCCCAGCCATGACTGTGCGGCGCAGGGGGCAGAGCAGGGGGCAAGTGATCCCCAGAGCAGCTCTGGGGCAGGTGAGCAGCTTTGCTCCTGTAAAGAGCTAGTGACTCTCACCCAAATGTGATCTTGGGCTTTTCCTTGGGACAATCCTCAGCAGAGGGGAATTGCCACGGCCCAGCTACGAGTGTCTGAGGACTGGCGTTTGGAGGGGTGTGCTGCTGCAAGGTCACTGCATGGAAATCCAGCACACGCGTTACCCTCGCTGTGTGAGGGCTTCGGGCTGAGTTTGTCTCTCTCCTTAGAACGTGTTGAATGTAACCAACAACAACTTCTACCCAGTCACTGTCACCCAGCTGGACATTGAGGTCTTGCACCTGTCCGTGGTGATAGGGAAAACCACCAAGAAGTACCTGCTGAATATCGGCCCTTTGCACAGCGGCCAGGTGGGTGCTGCTGCCTCTTGCTGCCCTATCGAAATGTCTGGCCCCCTTTGGGTGGGGAGAAATAGTGGTCCCCTTCTCTGTCGCCTTGTAGTTCTATTGCCCCAGGGGCAGAGCGTCCCTTTACTGCCTCCCCCCCATTCCTGTCTTTCCAGGTGCCCATTCACTTGCTGGCCCAGGGCAGTACTTAGCAAACACGGGAGGCAAAAGACCGAATGCTGAGGTCTCATATGGGTGTTTCCTGCACTGGTTCATGCTGCGTATTGTAACTCTGTCGAGATCTGCCATGTTGTAACTTGGTCCTAACACAATGTGGATTGGATTTTAAATACTGGCTCTGAGCTGTGTGGAATTGATGGGATCATCTTTAATTCTCTCTGTGCTCGGCTCTCTGGGCTGCACCTGTACATGGTTACTGTAATCTCTGTAAATCTCCAACTAACGCATCTGTTTTACTTGCAGATCTATTATGCAGTCTCCAGTATTATACGGGACTATAGTACCTAGTAAGTATTTCTCAGAGACTTACTTTCCTGGCTGATAAGTAGCATTAATGTTTCTGGGCTTTTCTCAAGGGGCAGTCTGGCATAAATTTATAACTTGGGCGGTAGCCTCATTCTATCTGACCCTGCAGTGCAGCTGAGAATGTGTCCCTTTGATTTTCGTGTATGTAATCATGTTGGGACAGAAACCCAGCATGTCCATTTTACATTCCTTTCTAGTTCTTCTGCATTAAATGTTTTCCCAGCCTGCAACTGACAAGACTGTATCACTTTCAAATCTAATACCCCCCACAGATTAATAAATCTGGTTTGGAAATGCCTGATACAAATTAGTCCATCTGTGTGCAGTTTAAGTGTATCTACCACCCCAATCTCTGTGAATGAGCAGTTTGCTGATTCTCCACAGGCACCTTGGGCGATCTGTTTCCTGCTCTGCCCATGGTGGGGAGATGTCAGGTGTTGCCGGACTGTGAATTCTCCCATCTTGTTCTGCTTGATGCATTTGCAGGAAGGGTGTCAGGTCTACACTACAAACTTCTGCTGCATAGCTATGTCTGTTGAGGTTGTGATCTCTGACCAAATTAGCTGCGTCAGTAAAAGCGCCTAATGTAGATGCAGTTATACTGGCAAAATGGCACTTTCACCAGAATAGCTTATATTGCTCAAGGAGGAGAGGGGGGCATGGCTAGAATAAGTTTTGTCAGCTAAAGGTTTAAAGGAATAAGGTTTGCCAGTATAAGCAGTCTCCATACAAGGAGTGCTTTGCCTAGTAAGCCGATCAGTCCACATAGGCAAAGTCTTCCAAGTGTAGACTTGATTGGAGAAGCACTTCGGAGAAGCTTGCGCTCTCTCCCCAGGCCTGGGTTGCTCTGTTGTGCAGGACGGGTCTTGTGTGATGAAAACATTGTACTGCAAAATTAATTCTCTGTTTTCTGTCTCCTAAGCAACATCTGCACCTGGATCAAAATCAAAGTCCACAACGTTCTACTGCACATACAGTAAGTGGCATTTGGTTAAAAGCGAATCACTCGCTGTTGATCTGCGCGGTCCCAAACATTCCTCGCTGAGGCAATCTGGATTTCCCTTTGTATTAGTGTTTTCAGAGACCAAGACTGTTCGAAGTTGTAATTAGTCTTTCCCCAAGTAGGTTTGCAACTGTTGGCGTGGGTGTGTCACAGTTATTTTAATTTCAAGGGGAAAGTCACCCAAGCTATTGGTGCAGAGGAGCATGCCTGGACTTCAGCCCCCAGGGAGCTCCAGCAGTGCAAACCCAGAGTGTTGGTGAGGTCACTTGTACAGTGGTACTGTTTCTGCCTGCATTGGGAACAGCTATACCTGTGTCTGGGGTGAATGGTGCAGGGGGAGAATGAGCTTGGCCTGTTCCCCAGAGGATAGATCCTGTACATCCACCATGTTGGGGCAGAGTAACTCAGACTGGTGCTTGAGGTCTTCAGCATTTGAACAAAGACCCCAGCTGCTCAGATGGCTGAGATACCAGGGTGTGAAGGAACAAAGCACATTCTCTCTCCTGCAGACATCCTGCCCTGGCCCCATCTTCTGCAGACAGCCTGGCCGCAGGGGAGGTCCTGGCCAGGAAGATGGCCTGAGTGCATTGCACTCAGCTTGACTGCACATGAATTGTGCTGTATTTTGAATGAGCCAGTGAGAGCAGCCCACACCAGGCAAACCAAGAAAGCTTTGCCTCCTCCTCCTACGGAGGTGGGAGTGAGTGTGGGCCCACACAATCCTTCCCAGGGGTTGGTCAGTAACATGACCCAGAAACTGACCTGCCATTGACAGCAGTTTCCTGTCTGGCGGCCAATGGAGCAGTGACGACAAACCCATTTCCAACACTGTTCTTGAACCATGGCTTAGAGTGCGGCTCTCAGCTGCGGCCCATGTGACATCCTCGGGGCCATACAGGTAGTATTGGATGCGGCCCACATAACACATGCATATGCAGCCCGCAATGGTAAATAAGTTGAGAACCTGGCTTAGACATAGTGCGGCCAAGACCTTGTGGTACATTCTGGGATGAGAATGGTTTGGCCCGTCTGCTCTAGCAGGTAAACAATCTGTATCCCCTCTGTACTGAGACCTTGTGTTGCTGGGGCTGAGTATCGAGTAGGATGGTGTGAATATCTGCAGTGGCGCTGGGCCGAGCGGCCACAGCTCCTGCAGCCACACCATCTATCTGCTGGCCATCGTTGTCACTCGCAGGAGGCAGAAGGTGACCTTTGCTGCCTCTCTTCTGTGTTGTGCCACTTCCCAGTGGCGTTAGCCCTGTGGTGCCTGGCATGGCAGGGTACAACCTGTTCTTTGCTGTAACACTGAGAACAGAATGGGAAGGTATGTGCTGCTGTCGCGCTACGTTGTCGCTTCGACTACACAAGTGCTCGGTTTGTTTGGCATGACCTTTAAGGAGCAGGCAGAGCAGGCAGAGGTGCAGAGGCTGTAGCAGTGAATGGGTCCAGCTTTAAAGGCTGTGTTAGAAGAACATTGCAGATTGCTGATAGGGGATCGCTTAAATGCTGCCTTAAAAATTAATGTGGTCTGAGGGAGCCCCCTACAAATGTGTGAAACGGGGCAGCTCGGCCTGGACTTGTGGTGTGAGTGGTTTGGAGCTGCAGAGTAAGAAAGACGAAAATTGTGCGAGTGGTTGGGAAAGGCCACAATGGAACTTTTTCCTTAAAGTGAAATCCCAGCAGAAGATCCAGCTTGGTGATTTCAAATCTCTTTATAGTTCAAGTAAAATCGATTGTTGTGTGTTGCAGGGGCACCCTGACCTGCTCGTACCTGTGCCACTCGGAGCAGCTGGCTTTTGAGAGCTACAAGTATGTGGACTGTAGAGGGAATGCGACGCTGCCTCACCCCCTGTACCACCGCCCACCATGACGGGGTCACTGGACGGCGACATTCTTCTATCGCAAAGGCAAGTTGTACCAGGGACACAGCAACTCCAGGGGCTTCTCTTCCAAGCCACCGTGATTTTAAACAGGACGTTTGGCTCTCCCTTGGGATGAGATGTTCAGTCTGCTGCTGTTTCCTGGTTACAGACTGATAGAATTTCATGAACTTGGAACATGCTGCTCTGAGTTTGCAATTCCCATTTGTATCCTGTATGGGGGTTGGCATCAGCAGAGTGTGCACACTCTATAGGGAAATTGCTGTATTAACTGATTAAGAGAACTCTGCTAGGTTGTTAGCTGCCTTGTCCTGTGCAGTATTTCACTATTGCACTAGGGGAGGCATTACCTGTTGGTCAAATCAGCTCTCCTGCCAAATAACATTTTTGTGCCTGTGCCCTGTTGTGTGGGCGCTCTTGGCTGGAGAGCATCTCCTAGTGATTCTTGGATAGCAATCACACCCCGGCTCTGCGAAGCAGGGAGAAACCCAACTGAACTGACATCTAAGAACCTCTGGCTCTTAAATAACAAGCACTGAATAATGGGCTAAAACTCTGCCTGGTTTGCACCTAGAGGGGTAAGGGTGGTGTAGTGGATGTTGGGCCAAGTTCCTCTACCAGGGAGGCTGGGTAAGTATGTTCATTCCCTGACTTTTCCTAATCCTATCAGAGGGATTATCTCGCATGAAGGGTTGTGCAGTCCAGATCGATGCAGCAGCCACGGTCTATCTTGTACCCAAAGTGATCAAACTCTGCTGCATCCTTGCAGCGTGGAGGGGGGGGAGGAGAGGGATTGCTACTTCCCAGATGGCAGAGGAAGGTGAGGGGCCCATCATGCATTCTCCACACAGCACATGCCATTTTCTGGGGCACTCCCTTGTGGGCTCCTGTATTAAGGAGTTTAACTTTAACGAGTGGCAGGAGTCTTACTTGGATAAGAAAAGCTCTGTTCGTGCAAATGCCAGGAAACAACAGTTGCCATTTATACCTATTTGTAGCATTTTCTATGAGGGAAGGAGCCCTGGCCGCTCTTCCACCCTCTCTCCAGACCCTTGTACGGTACAGACTCATTCTCTGTAGGAACAACTCAGGCAGAGGATGCACACTCACGTTACTGCCTGCTAGACCCATGGGCATAAGCACCCTCCTTAGATCCCAGCGTTGCTAATGACTGGCACGTTCTGCCTGGATGGATGGATGTATAGAAATTGCTGGGCATATGATCTGACCCAGAGCAGCCCAGCATTGCCCTAAACGCCTCTCCAGCCAGATGGGACATGGTGGGAAAAGCAACATGCATCAGAGTAGTTGGGAGAGGAAACCTTTGTGCCTCAGCAAAGAACTAATCACCGTCCACAAGACCCCTGCCCCTGGGGTGGCACTCAGCAGAGACTCCAAGGAGCCTGACCTTCCTAGAGGTCCCAGCAGGGCAGTGTTCTATAGCTTGCCTTTCATCTACCTGCTCTGTGGATCCAGAGGTCCAGTCTCCAGGGCTCCCAAACTAGCACATTTCAGCAGAGGCATGTTAATCATTAAGTGTCTTTTCCTGATCGTTTATATGTTCCATTAAGGTTGCCATGGATTAAATCCCTGCCTGAGGCAGGGGTGAGGAAGCACCTTGTGTTCTGAAAGCGTCTCTGGTCTGTTGACTCTTGTCCTTTTCCATCATCTCTCACTGTATGTTTGTATTCGCTGTGTTGTTGCACCTGCTCTGCTATTCTCTTCTCGCTGTCTCTGCCCCTGGCACAGTCGTTGAGAGCTGGCTGTGCCTGTGTTATATGCCTGCATCAGTCTGTTCACAAATAAAAAGGGCTTCGTAAAATCAGAGTGGTGCTTTCTCCTTATGATCTGTGCTGGGACAACTCCTGAGAATGCTGAGCGGGGACCTGATTCCCTGGGGAAATCAGTCTCCACATAGCATTACAGTGACACCTGCTGGCCAGTGGGAGTCACTGCATATTATGGCTTAAAAAGGGAGGAGGGAGGTTTTAAATGGGAAAACCAAGGCCTCCATGAAGGTGCATGCTGAACATCCCCTCCCAGGAGAGCAATGTCCAGGGACACCCAGGGTTTTGCAGCTACTTTCTGCCAGAGGCCTGAGGCAGGAGTTGCTCTCGTCGGCTGGTTGTGCATAGCAGCATCCTACAGGGCAGTTTCTCTGTAGCTGTAAATATAGCACACTGAGATCAAATTCTATTTACAGGCCTTTCTTCAGGGTCTGATCACCTCCCGTACATCAGTGCATTTTCATCACAACCCACCCCATGAGGAAGGGATGTGTGACTATTTCAGCTTTACAGATAAGGAATTGAAAGGAAAGGGACTTGTCTGAAGTCATGCAATGAGTTAACGGCAGGGCTGGGACCAGAACCTAGATCTCCTAACTTCCAGTCCTGTTCCTAAGGCCCAAAACTATCCTCCTCCGCTGCCTGATGCTTCTGTGGGTTAGAATTTGGCCTCTTAACTAGAACGTTTTCAGTATCTACAATGGACTCCTGTGGGGAAAGGGTTTGTCTTCCCCTGTGTGGGTTATTAAAGTTAGTGCAATTAGGTGAGGAGGGATGGAGCCCCCACAGTCACTCTGTTAGCAGCTGTTGGAAGGATGAATGTGTCAGGGTAGGAAAGGAGCAGCGTGTAAAAAATCCTGAGCTGTGCCGATGCTGGCACTGGCAAAATGTTTTTCCAATAACAACAACTTACAAGAAATGTCAGAGGCTTCCTTGCCCCCCCCCCCCCAAAAAAAAGGGGGGCGCGATTGAACAATACTAACTTGGACTGGGAAGGACAATCTGATTCCTGACCGACTGTAAGCAGTGGAGTGTAACTGGCTAAAATTGTCACTTTCCTCAGAATTTTCTCTATCAAATCAATTTTCAGTGTGTGGACAGGTGACACTAGTTTAAAAGTTCTACGTCAATTCTTAAGGATGCTGCTTTCTTTGTCTGAACTTAGCATAGTTTTCATATAAAGTACCTGGCCTTGGTTGGTTGCAACTGTCTTAGCAGGGAGGTGGCAAAGTGAATGGACTATGTGCAAATGCAGGGTGCTCTTGGTTGCCTAAGAGAGACCATCCCTCATAAGGTTCTGTGGGTGTGGAGAGTTTATTACACATTAAGGGTTACAGCCCCTAATGGGAAGTGGCCGGCAGGTCCTATGTGTTCTTCATGCTGATGGCTTCGTTATGGTGTTGGATTCAGCTGCACTTATCTGGATCTCCTTGGTGCTTAAAGGCATGTTACTAGGCGACGAGTCATTCCTGCGCTGCTGGTTACTCGGTCATTACCATTGTTGTATGTATTGCACAGCCTGGAAGGGTAAGGAAAGATAATTTGCCTCCAAGTTTCTCGTGTATAATGGGAGGGTGCATGGTGGCTGTTCTATGCCATATCATTTTATAATTTGGGGGGTGGGGGGATTTGTAAAAGATTTAAAAACAAAATGAACCATTTTCTTACCATTCACAACTGAATTTCAAAGAGAGGTGAGGAGTGGGTAGCAGAGGGGGTTTAAATAATGATCCACTATTGGCAAGAAAACAGTTTTGTGCAGAACTGAGAGGAATTTACCTCCAGCAACAGTCCAGGTGACTCTCTTGTTGATAACTCCTCGTTATACCGGTATAAAGGCGCTGAACTGGAGTAAATTAGGCTGCTGTAGGCCCTTTTATACCAGTGTAACTGCATTCACGCCAGGAACATTTTGCTGCTTTAGCTATACCGGTATAGTTAAAGTGGCAAAACACCTAAGAAGAGAGAGACCCTAATTCTTGATGTGGATGAGATTCATTAAGATTGCTGTGATGGCAACAAAAGATGAAATCTCTTAGGGAATTTCCTTGCAGAGAAACCCAGGATGCTCATGCATAAGGATCACACCCTTACATCAAAGAAGCGAAGAGCTAATTCTTGCTCCCAACTCTTTTCTCACCCCTTCCCTATCAACTTACTGAGAATCTACGTGGCAGTTTTGCGCTGCTTATCGTCACGTAATGACACTTGCATGGGCAGCACTGGCAGGAGCAGGTGACTTCTGAAACAAATCACAAGTTACTAACCAAACTCAGTTGCCTTTGCAGAAACTCTCTCTCCAAATGTGAATTTATTTTACTAAATGCCTTTGCCCTGAATGACTGCAAAGCCATGAAGAGCGATAGACCCACCCACACTGCACCTCTGGGACAAAGGCAGATTCACAAGAATTACTTGACATGCCTGTGTTGCTCATACTGCCATAAAACTGCAACAAGTGGTAAGAAGATAAAATGAAAAACTGGCCCAGTGAAAGGGATATGCCGTGATGCATTCAAGTTTAGGATTGGCCTCAGATGCGTAGCATCATTGGTTTATGAAGCTAACACTAAAGGATTGACTTTATCTTTAGAACACTAGATACAATGCTGCATGAGAGAGAACTGCCACTGTGCTTTTCACTCCCATCTTAATAGTGCTGAGGAAACCTAGGCCTGGGCTACACTAGCGGGGTGGTTCGAACTAAGATACTATGCGCGTAGCTGAAGTCCAAATATCTTATTCGACTTACTTGGCCGTCCTCACGGCGGCGAGTCGACTGCCGCGGCTCCCCCGTCGACTCCGCTTACTCCTCCTGCTGAGGTGGAGTACGGGCATCGATTTGCGGATCGATTTATCGCGTCCAGACGACACGTGATAAATCGATCCCCGATACATCGAACACTACCCGCCGATTTGGTGGGTAGTATAGACTTACCCCTAGACTGCTGCAATTCCCCCGGTAGCCTGATAGGGTCAGATATATTAAGGGCTAGTCTATACACAAACTGGAACTGCACTAACTCTGTTTTAATCCACACTTTTAATTATTTTGATGCAGCTCTGTGTGTGGACACATTTCTATCTATCTTAGGGCTTGTCTACACTACCGCGGTAGTTCGACGGCTGGCAATCGAACTTCCGGGTTCGATTTATCGCGTCTGGTGTGGACGCGATAATTCGAACCAGGAAGTGCTCGCCGTCGACTGCGGTACTCCACGTCAGCGAGAGGAGTACCGCGGAGTCGACGGGGGAGCCTGCCTGCCGTGTGTGGACCGCGTCTGAACCGCGGTAAATTCGAACTAAGGTATGTCGACTTCAGCTACGTTATTCACGTAGCTGAAGTTGCGTACCTTAGATCGAATTGGGGTGTTAGTGTAGACCAGGCCTTAGGGTCTTATTCTACTGTCCATCGCTGAAGTATCTGAGGGCCTTCCACATAAAACTGATAGCAATGGTGACTGCCTAGTGGATTGTCAGACACTAGAACTTTGTGGGAGCAGAGTTCTAACTTTTTTTAAAACTTAATTAATTGTATTGATGTTTTTAGGTTGATTTGTTTCAGAGATGTTGTTTTTGGTGGGGGGGTTGGGTACAGAGGGTGTCAACGTTGTCAGTCCAAAGATGGAAAGGCCTTTCTGAACAGGATGGTTTGGTAGCGTTCCCTACTGTATTAACTCCTTTCGGACACAGTGTCCTGTTCCGATTACGTGAAATCAAACAGGGGACACATGATCTGAAATAAGTCTTGCCCCAAAATAGCTAAAACTGAACTAAACTGATGTTACTTTGATTCCATTTTTTTGTCTATACAAACCCTTTGTTTACAGGTAGGGCCTGATTTTCAGCTGGGCCTCTCTTTTTGCACATAATGTTTTTCCTCCCTCAGGTAATTGTGGCTATGTTGTTTCAGTACAGTTAGTTGGGGGCACTAAAGCACAGGCCACTTCTGGAATTCTAGGCCATGGTTTGAATCTCAAGGTGCTTTATGAACACTAATGAATTAAACTTCATAACTCCTTCAGACTTACTGGGTAACAGGATCCAGGAGCCCTGACCTGCAGTCCCCTGTACTAGCTACTGGAAACACTGCCTGAGTCCTAGCAGTCCCCTTCTACACTTCAGTCATGGACTCAATTCTCCTGTAATCCTACACCCTGCTTCAGTTACTAGTTCACTCATCTGTAAATGTATTATTCACCAGCTCCCTCATTTAGCTAAAAGCTACAGGTGGGGAATGAGGTCTGAGTGGACCGATTCATTTCCCCACGGGAATTTGCCCCAGTGCTGGGAAGGGGGAGGAGGGGAACCTTAGTGCATTCTTCTCAGGGTCTGGTTCCATTCAGTTCTTCGTGCAGGGAAGGCTTTGCCTACAGCACTCGGGGGGAGAAAAAGGCCTGATTTTTCAGCCGTGCTGAGCATCCTCTGCTCCAGCTGAAGCACGAAGCTCGGCACCGCTGCAGGCCACGATACGACTCGGGGGGGGGACTGGCCTTCCGGTCAGTTCGGGGTTTGACTCTCTGCCCCTCACTGCAGCCTAGGAAACTATTCTGATAGCTTCAACTGTCACAACTCCCCCCAGAAAGGGGGGTTCACAAAAGTCTCCTGCCCCCCCTCCCCGTGCAGGCCAAGCTGCCCCCCCGGACCCGCCCCCTCTTGACCCCCCCCCCGCAGACTCTTAATCTCCGGAGCCCCGGATCGCGCCCGCCCAGCTCCCCTCACCTGGCGGGGGGGGCTTCTGGGGCTGCAGCGCGGGGGGGTTGATTTCAGGCCTCTGCTCCGGCGCCTTCTTGGCGGCTTCTTCCGCCTTCTGCACAGGAATGAACGTCCCTTGAGTGAGCAGCCGCCGGCAGGGCCCTCGCCCCCGCCCCGGGGCCCCTCCCCAACCCCGACCCCTGCCCCCCCCCCGCCCCCCCCCCCGGCCCCCCCCCCGCCCCTTGGGGCCCCCCCCGCACACACCTGCTGGAGGAGCTGGTTCCGCCGCCTGCGCTCCAGCATCAGCTGCCGGCGCCGGGCCTCCCAGTGGTAGGCGGACATGGGGCCGGGGCGGGGGCCCGGGGGGGGGGAGCGGGGCCGGGGCCGGGGCCGGGGCTGGCTCTGCCCAGGGGAGCCTCAGCTGCAGCCGCTGGGGCCCGGCCTCACAATGCGGCGGCGGCTGCCAGGCAACCGGGTCCGGGGCGGCGCTGGGCCTGCCGGGGCCCCTCCCTCGGGACCCGCCCCCGGCTGGGGCCCCTCCTCCGGCCCGGCCCCCGCAGCCCGGGCCCCCCGCCAGGGGGCGCTGCGCGCCCGGCGTTCCGGAGAACCCCTGGGCCCCCC